CTCAGCTTTGTAAATTCAGCACTTTGGATTGGGGTGGACTGACAACTCATGGGGCCCCCGAGCAATAGGGGATCATGGGGCCCCTGTGCCCTTGCCCAAACTCAAAAAAGCCTATGAAAAAGGTACCAGGGGCATCTCATGGGGCCCCCTACTGACCCCGGGCCCTCGGGCAGTGCCCGAGTTTCCAAATGCTCAGTCCGCCCCTGCTTTGGATGAAAGTAGAGAAAAGAATACTGCAGATAAACAGGTACAACTTATGTAGAAGGCATTGCTTCATCTCGGGGTATGACCAGTGAAGGCCAGTCTCTTCACTGAGTATATGTAAGGGTACTATCTACCACTTTAATGAAGTATAGCTCATGCTGTGTGGGGACAAAGACTATCCAGAAATCCTTAAGCTGCCCATAGATAGATCGAAATGTGGCCAATTTATCATGGACTGGCTGAATTTTGATCCATGTGTGGGCACTGTGGTTGTACAGAAGTTGATCTACCAAATGACTTCTGTACAACTGCCCTGCTGAAAAAGTTCCTCTCAAACTCTCCTCTTGATCAATGTATTCTGATGGTGGAGAAACCTGCCACTGTCAGAACACAATGATGTAGTGGAACGATTCCCCCATCCACCTCAAATATGTGGAAGGGGGAATCAGGTTAGGTTTTTTTTTTTTTTTTTTTAACCTGCTGGTCGATTGAAAAAGACTAACTAATCTATGGTTAGCTTTGGAATCAATCATGGCATCTTCTCCTCTGAAAAATGTAAAAGTAAGAAATAATTTCATTAACCTCTTGGCGCCGGCCGCATGCAAATGTGCGGCCTCCTGGCGTCTGGGCCTTGACGCCGAGCGGCCGCACATTTGCGTGTAATTAAGAAAAACATATGTGCTGAGATTGCACGCTCTGCGAGCTCCCAGCACACATGTCCAGTACTCACGGAAAGGTCCCGATCTCCTCTTTCGATCTGGACCTTTCCCGATCATGTGACTGCCGTGACAGCGAATCATGACCCTAAAACCCCGCCCTGCCTCACGGCTTCTGAAACCCTTAAAGGGTCGGGAGGCGCGGACGCCAAGGGGTTAAAAACATTCTTTTTTAGGTGTGCTCTGTGATTGGAAATATAACAAACTTATAGTGGGGTTTTCTCAAATTTGACTTCAAAAGTGGAAATACCATTTACCTGTTTTGTAGCTTCCAATTACTAGTTCAAATTCCCCTACTTGAGGCTGTCTACTTGAATGGAAGACTACTGTCTCTACTGTTCCAATAGGGGCAACAAAAGTTGTTCTTTCTTCAGGCATCTACAGTTGCAAGAAAAAGTATGTGAACCTTGGGATTACGTGGAGTTTTGCATGAATTGGGCAGTGACTCTGAACGTCATCTAGTCAAACAACAGAAGAACACAGTCTGCTGAACATCACACAAACATTAAATTGCACATAACATGTAAACATTCACAGTGCAGGGATATGTGAACCTTTGGACTTAATAACTGGTTGACCCTCTACACCTCAACCAAACGTAAATACGACTAAACGATTCATTTTGGACCACTGTTTCAGTGAAATATATAATCACTTCTTACATACAATTTCAATCGGGTTGAGGTCAGGGACTGGGCCACTCCAGAAGGCGTATTCTGTAATTACTTGTATGCTTTGGGTCATTGTCCTGTTGCATCACCCATCCTCTGTGGACTTCAGTTGGCGGACAGATGGTGGTACTGCAAAATGTCTTGATAAACTCTGGAATTCATTTTCCCATCAATGACAACTCCGTCCACCCTGAGGCAGCAAAGTAAACGTATGCTCCCTCCGCCATGCCTCCACACATAGTGTTGTGTTCTTCCCAATGACTTGGTTTGATATTTTGCCAGTAGTGCTATGGAACAAGGGGAAACTTCAAACGTGCTGACTTCCTAATGCCAAGATTGAAATGATGCTTATTGTAGATAGCAACAAAAAATGTTAGCAGTGCCAGAGATTTCTGTAGGTCTTTAGCTGACACTCTGGGATTCTTCTTTACCTCATGCAGCATTCTGCGCTGTGCTCTTGCAGTCATTTTTACAGGACGACCACGCCTAGGGAGAGTAGCAACAGTGCTAAACTTTCTTTACTGTGAGTGTTGGATCAAGGCTTTTGGAGATACTTGGAACTTACACCAGGTCTTCTGAGGTGCAACATCAGACAGTGTGTCCCTTCACCCCTCCATTTTTTTTGGAGTCAAGGTTTTTTTTTCCTTGCCTATCCCAGTGTGAATAACCCCATGTTTGTGTAGTATTATGTTCAGCAGACTGTGTTCTTCTATTGTTGTGACTTAGATGACTTTCAGAGCACATTTTATGCCCAATTCAGCAAAACCCACGTGAATCCCAAGGGGTTCACCCTACTCTCTTCCTGCTTGCACATATTTTTCTACACCAATAAATAAATTAACGATTTTTTTTTTTTATGTCTTACTACAAAAAGTAGTAGGGATGGAAGAACTAATCCAGACTGGACTCACCTTCTAAATTCTCACATACGTAGGCCTGCTTTCAAATGACTTTTGAATATAGAGAATGGGAATTCTTAATGCCCTCCCATGGTTTCTGGTGGCCCCCCTTGCACTTCCTAGATTCTTTTACGTGAGTGGATGGAACTTACACCAGGCTTGTGTCCCTTCACCCCTTTTTTTCACCTTGCCTATCCCAGTTGCTAACCCCATGGCTGGCCCCCATCTTTTGTCCCTACTCTCTTCCTGCTTGCTATTTTTCTTAGTTTCTTACCTAAGCTTAGGTGAAGAGCGGGAGCAGAGGCTTTTGTCACTCATGCTGGGTATCACCTCTGGACGAGCATGTCTTTTGACACTCATGCTGATCTGTCTATATAGTGCTTTCGTACACTACTGTTTATGTTCCATATGCATAATTTTTGTAATTTTTTCTCCCCTTCTTCTTACCATTTCTCTAATTGTGGTTGAGATCCGTATCTGGACAAAGTTATGTGGTACTTCTTAAAGTGGAGTTCCACCCATTTTTTTTCCCTCTATTAGCAATGCCCTTTTGTTGTACTGTTGGATTTGGATATATATATATATTTTTTTTTTTTTTAAAAGTTTGTAAATACCTTTAAATAGTGGGTAAAGACGGCGCTTCCGTTCCCTACCGCCTAGGCCAGTGGTGGGCAACCTTTTTTTTCAACTGAGCCAAATCTCGCCAAAACCACGATTGAAATTTATTTTGAGAGCCACATTTTTAAAACTGAAAATACATCCCCCATATAGTATAGTAATTCATCCCCCATAGTAATTCATCCCCCATATAGTAATTCATCCCCCATAGTAATTCATCCCCCATATAGTAATTCATCCCCCATAGTAATTCATCCCCCATATAGTAATTAATCCCCCATAGTAATTCATCCCCCATATAGTAATTCATCCCCCATATAGTAATTCATCCCCCATAGTAATTCATCCCCCATAGTAATTCATCCCCCATATAGTAATTCATCCCCCATAGTAATTCATCCCCCATATAGTAATTCATCCCCCATAGTAATTCATCCCTCATATAGTAATTCATCCCCCATATAGTAATTCATCCCCCATAGTAATTCATCCCCCATATAGTAATTCATCCCCCATAGTAATTCATCCCCCATATAGTAATTCATCCCCCATAGTAATTCATCCCCCATATAGTAATTCATCCCCCATATAGTAATTCATCCCCCATATAGTAATTCATCCCCCATAGTAATTCATCCCCCCCATATAGTAATTCATCCCCCATAGTAATTCATCCCCCATATAGTAATTCATCCCCCATAGTAATTCATCCCCCCATATAGTAATTCATCTCCCATATAGTAATTCATCCCCCATATAGTAATTCATCCCCCATAGTAATTCATCCCCCATATAGTAATACATCCCTCATATAGTAATCCATCCCCCATAGTAATTCATCCCCCATATAGTAATTCATCCCCCATAGTAATTCATCCCCCATAGTAATTCATCCCCCATATAGTAATTCATCCCCCATAGTAATTCATCCCCCATATAGTAATTCATCCCCCATAGTAATTCATCCCCCCCATATAGTAATTCATCCCCCATAGTAATTCATCCCCCATAGTAATTCATCCCCCCTATAGTAATTCATTCCCCATATTAATTCATCCTCCATATTAAGTCCCCAAGTCCCCCTTGTGTCAATTCACTTACCTTTGCTCCGCGCGTTCTTCTTGCTGTGTTCCCGTTCTGGTCTTCAGAGCGGACTGTGAGAGGAGAGGAGTTCGTCACGCTGCCCCGCCTACATCCTGGCTGCCCCGCCTACATCCTGACAGCTGCAGAGTCCTGACTTTTGGGGCGGCCGCCCGAGAGGAGGGAGGGGAGGGGGCGGCCGCCCGAGAGGAGGGAGGGGAGCGGGCGCCCGGCACACAGAAGAGCCGCATTTAAGTTTGTAAAGAGTCGCATGTGGCTCGCAAGCCGCGGCTTGCCGACCACTGGCCTAGGCGATGACATAATGAGGCGATTCGCAAGGTCTCCTGGGATATTGGGTCTTCTATCCCAGGAGTCCTTGCGAATCCTAGTTAGGAATGAAGTGCATCACGCAGTGTCATTACTGCGCAGGCACGAGATCGGGAGGTGCATGCTGGGATAGCCAGCAGCACCTAGTCCCGAAAATATAGACATGCGGGCTAAATATGCCCACATTCTTCATGGCGTTTGCCTTCTTCCTAGATCAAGGTAAAATATAAATTTTTATCAACTAAAAATCAGGATATCACATACTGTATACCTTTATTCAATTATTTATGGGAAAGACGAAATAATAACAGGAGAACTTTTTAAAAAAATTGTTATGGACACTGGAGCTCCACTTTATGGACAAATCTTTGTATTAGGCCATTATGGGCATGCATGCCTTTGTAACCGTATTATTGATTTCTGTATGTTTTACTGGTTTTTTTTTTCCAATAAAGTTTTTGTGAAATAAAAGAAAGTGTACTTACTAGAATTTTTGTCTGGGAGTCTGTCAATCTTCCATACAACAGCCTTGTAAGCATACTCGTACTTAGCTGTCCCAATGGTCACTTGTATTACTGGCTCAGATTCAATTTCATATGTGGACCCCAGGCAAGCTCTGCGGTTCATCTTAGTCTTCAGGGACCTTTGTCTCTGAAGACTTGCTGTCCATAGCGCTTTTACCCATGGTGCAGGAACTGGGAAATGGATGGTTATATTCTCACAAAACTGTATCTGCGGAGAAGCCACCACACTAGAAGACATGTTAAGGAAAGCTTGGAGCTCCACGTAGGCCCCCTGGACCACAACCAAGCTCTTCAAAGAAAAGGGAAGTTCTTCTACTATACAAGGAGTTTTAAACCGCATCAACTCAAACCTACATCCGTCTACTGGGGTGAATTTAACTATCCTGGATTTACTAAATTCCTGTTTTTTAACACATTTATGGAAATGATACTCAGAAATATCGATCAGTTTTTCATCATTATCCTTTCCAAAATAATCTACTGACAGTCTTTGCAACTCGGAGTCATTCATTGTTAAAAAGCACTCTACGCCACTGTTAATGAAACAAAGACAGTACACTTGAGACATCACTGCCTTGTCCTGTAGTTTTCCATCTTTGGTGACTTCTGCCCAAAAATTGTCCACTAATTCCACTGACATTTCTGGATCTTCGAAAGTTCTCTTTTGTTTCAGTACCGGCGAGAGCATCATCAACTCTTCTTCTATCGTTACAATAAAATCTGTTAAATCGCAGTAATCAGTGGTGCCTAATTTTAACATTTGCTCAATTTCAGCTTCGTGGACCACTTCAAGTTTTGGGTGGTATTTCCTTTTCTCGGCATAAGTTACATTTTCTATCTTAACTGAGTGTATTTTCTCTGAAACTCCTAAGTTTTCCAGCTTGGGTTCTGAAAGCCTGCAGAATTGATGAAGCTGAAACTCTTTGAACGGTTTCTCAAGGCCCTTTTCATAATACATTTGCAGAATTCCACCAGACAAAACTTTCAGGTAAATAGGTCCCCACTGCCTGGAAGACATCATGTTCTTTTTTTCCGGAATCCTCAACATGAAAGGCCACCCATCTTTTTTCTGACTTCTAAAGAGGCTTTGCGGAATAAATGAAGGCCTATTTATTTCAGAACAAGCAAGATGAGGCTTCAAATTGTCAGGTGGGTCAGTCTTTAAATGCTGAAGCCTTTCACACACGTAGCTGAAGGAACACTGGTTAAGGCTTCTCTGGTTATTAGATGTGTCTTTCTCTGTTGTGTTGTGTTCTTGTTTTGTAAGAATTGTATCTTTTATCTGAGAGTCTATCACATTACCTGCGTCAACGGAACAAATGATATCTGTGATGTCATTGTTCCAAAATGGGCTTGAAAACGCACAGTCGTTTTGTGATTGTTGGAAATGTGGACTCCTTGAGCTACCTAAATAATTCATAGTTTTCAGCTTCGGACTTGAATCATTTAGACTTGAAAACACGGGTGATGGAATGCTTGATGTTTGGTTTGCTGCTAGCAAAGTCGATGTCTCAGATAACGTAGAAGATTGAACCCGTGAAACCTCTGGAATGGGGTACAAGTTATAAGACCCTGCCTTTGGAGTGCATGGAGTAGCTGGACTGTCTTTAATAGGTGTACACAGAGGGGAATTAAATGGAGCTCCAGGGCTTGTGAAGTCAATGATGGGGGATGTGTGAGGAGTGTTGGAGTTGGAAGAAGACACACTGGACTGGTCATGGGGCAGACTCAGTTTCAGTCCTCTTGATCTAGGAATGTAATGGTTGTCCTGTGGAAAGATCAGTGACTTCTGCGGAGTTTGGAATGGATTGTCATCATCAAAGGTCACCCAGCTTTCCGGATTGGTTGAGCACATTTTGTTGTGTTGGTAGTCTGAACGTCAGAATTGCCTAGGAAACACAAGAAGATAACATTTTAAATATATGTGAACCTTCACTTTGTTATTCCATTCAGTTTAAAATAGAAATGAAAGCCAGGCTGTGGATAAGGGGATACCGTAAAATGAAATAAAAAACAGAAGCGCACCAGCCTTGCGCATTACCTCAGCGACCAAAATTTATTACTTGTAAAAAACATACTCACAAACAGCGAATGGGTAAGTCCTCTCAGGGACTTGAGATTGGGTCCCAGGGGCGGTGTTCAGTACAGCTGACGCGTTTCGAAGGGAGTCCCCCTCTTCCTCAGGGGGGCGGACTGACAACTCAGGGGATCATTGGGCCCCTGTGTCCTTGCCCAAACTCAAAAAAGCCTATGAAAAAGGTACCAGGGGCATCTCATGGGGCCCCCTACTGACCCCGGGCCTTCGGGCAGTGCCTGAGTTTCCAAATGGTCAGTCCGCCCCTGATGTGAACTTATATAATTTCAATTAATTTATGCACATTTGTTATGTAGCAGTATTTATTTGATTTTTTCAGAATAACAAAAGGTAGAAATCTGCAACAAAGCTTGTTAAAGTGGTTCTAAAGGGGGAAGGTGTTTTACCTTTATGCATTCTTTTAACCCCTGGTTGGGCAAAAGTGAGTATGATCGGCAAGGTGAGGGGGCAATTACTGGAACCTTTCCCCTGTATGGCTCTCTCTGCAGCAGCTTCTTCTCTCCCTCCCATTGGTTTTCAGCTGCCCCATACAGGGGATCATTTCCAGTAATTGCTCCCACCCACAGTCATCCTCCCTGTGCACCATACATTCTCTCCTGCTGCCCAGGCCCCCCTGTGTGCCCCCACCCCCGCAGCGCCGCCAGCTTCCCTCCTCTCCTGCCCACTGGCAGCTGCAAGCACACATTAAGATCTTTCAGGATGGAAAATGGGGGAAGAGTCCAGTAAATATATCAAATTTACCAGCCCCTTGCTTTCTTGAATGAACACAATAAGTGATCAGTACTGATCAATCACTGTGTCCATAACTGAAGCATAGTAAACTGCGTTTTTTGTGGAGGGCCCTGTCAGGTTGGCTGTATGGGGCCCCGTGGTTTCTAACAGCTGCCCTGAATGAAAGGCAAAACATTTGTTTATACATATAAAAAACATTATAAACACCTTTTTTCCCATCTGAGGCTCCATGCACGTGTTCTTTTAAGCTCCTAGAAGCTGTTTATTAGCATTTTTTTCTGCTCGTAGGAGCTAAATAGTGGTGTCCTATGTATCCATACACACTACTTTAGGCTATTAGCAGTTTTTGAGCTTCAACATCTAGGAGCGGGAAAAAAAATCGTTTTTGTGGAGTTTTTTTGAAAGTTTTTCCAGCTGAAAAAAAACGCTAATTGCTCCAGAATGCTGCTAAACAGTACTAAATTGGTCTTAACATCTTTTTTCTTGGTTTTTTTTTTCCCTACATGTACTGTAAAAACAATAATAAAAGGCTAACGCTCCTAAATGCCCCTAAACACTACTAAAAACACTATTACCAGCGTTCTTTTATCCAGCGTTTTTTGAGTTAAAAAAAAACCGCTAGTGTGCATGAACCCTTATAATTGATCACACATCCTCCATTCTCAGCTGCAAAAAGAGCTTAGAGAGGTGAGGGAGGTAACACAGCAGTACACTGGTCTTCCCAGTGAATGGATGCACAGAGGGGGAAGGCATGTCAGTACAAGTCTGATGATTGGAGGCGAGCAGGCAGAGTTCCAAGCACAGTTAGAAAATTGACCACACTGTACTCTCATGCCTAGTGTGGTCAGTTTTTAATAGGAAAGCAGAGGAATTGGCAGGAACACCTCAAAGGAAGCAATACAAAGAGAACAGGAGACTTTTCATACAAGTACATGGTACAGCAGGCACATATCAGGAATAGGAAATGTTGAGTTTACATACTCTTTAATTTTTGTTATAAAATGTAAATTATAACTAAAAGGCAAAACTTTTTTTTTTTTCCGTTTTAGATCAAGTGGAGATGGATTAGAACCCCTGTCAGGTTTTTATCGCTGTCTGTGTCCCCATTAAGGAGATTCCCCCTCTCTATTTGTCCTGTTCGCTGTTATCACCAAAAGTGGAAGAGAAAAAAAGCCACAAATGTTGGGTTGTCACCAGAACAGGAATAAAAGGGAAATCTTCCATTGGGGACACTAGTTCTGAGGACAACAGGGATTCTCTTACTTTGGAGGGATTTCCTGACACTTCCTGTTTTGACTATAGGACAGGAAGTGAAGGAAAATCTCCCCAATGGGATACAGATAGGAAAAAAAAATGAGAGAGGTTATAACTCTTCCTTACTCTATCCCCCCCCCCCCCCCCCCCCAAAAAAAAAGGTTTGCCTTTAGTTCTACTCAGGCCATTTGGAAACTCGGGCACTGCCCGAGGGCTCAGGGTCAGTAAGGGGCCCATGGTACCTTTTTCATAGGCTTTTTTGAGTTTGGGCAAGGACACAGGGGCCCCATGATCCCCTATTGCCCGGGGGCCCCATGAGTTGTCAGTCCGCCCCTGGTTCTACTTTAAAATACTTTATATCAAAACTTTTTACAGTTTTGGAAAGAGAAGGACAGGGTTAAAACCCCTTTTTTCTGTCATTGGGGAGATTTCCCTTCATTCCATAGTAGTAAGAGAAATCCTCTCCTTCACACCATACCCATTGAACTGTATTGATCTACATAGATCAACACAGACCCAATGCAAGCACACATAGAAAACAAATGTTTTTGGGGTGCCCTGCTCGCACTTTTTTGTAACACCCCATCACATCACCCCTACACATCACACACTATCACATGCATGGAAAACGTTTTATAAAAACTGCATTTTTGCTTGCACATGATTGGATGATAGAAGTTAGCAGAGCATTCACCTCATTTACGAAGCTCAGGGCATGATTTCCTTGCAAAGTGCAAGTTCCTTGTCTATTTGCCTTTGGAATAGCAATCCCAGAGTGTCATCACAGAAAGCTGAAAAGTGGGATCGAGGCATCAGGAAGATTGATGGTAAGGTAAACCTGTCACCTCCCTCTTCTCTTCCCCAAGCCCCTTGTCTCTCTACACTCCTGACCAGGCCTTTGGAAAAACCCAACGGGGTTGACTTACTAAAGGCCGACAGGCTGTTCACTTTGCAAGGGAATTTTCCCTTAGGTTTAGTAAATGAGCTGAAGCTCTGTTGACTTCCATCAACCACTCATGTACAATTAATGAATGGGATTGGGTATACTTTTCTTTTTCACCACATTCACTAAGGAAACTTCTAAAAAATTCATTGGACGAATGTCACATACATTTGTGCAGGCTGGACGAACTTTGGCTGTAAATTCATTCCTATGATCTTTAGCTCCATTGAGTGGCCAAAATGCTGTATAGTTTTCTGAAACACCTCAATGAGAAATGTATCGCATCTTGGCCATTAGACGAAGCTGACTATCATAGGGATTAACCACTTCAGCTCTGGAATGTTTTACCCCCTTTCATGACCAGGCCATTTTTTTGCTATTCAGCACTGTGCTGCTTTAACTTTTACTTGTAGTGGCATGGTCATGCAATGCTGTACTCAAAAGAAATGTATATATTTTTCACACACAGAGAGCATTCTTTGGTGATATTTGATCACCACTGTTTTTTTTTTTTTTTTTTTTGTTTTTTTATTATATAAACCAATAAAGACCAAATATTTTGAAAAAAAAATTACTTTCTGCTTTAAAACATATCCAATAAAAAAAATCAAATTTAGAGTTTAGAATTAGAATTTAGAATGTATTCTGCTACATGGTGGCTGCATCAATTTTTTTTCCTCCTGTTTTCACCTGGCGATCTGGCCAGTAACACACCTCCTGTATTAGAGTGCCTCCATTCTGGATGAAGGAGCATAGCAGGTACAGCAGATAGTAGCATTGTCCATTTGGGGGGAGGGGAGTGTTAGATGTATTGGCAGATTAATACAATATCAAACTAAAGCCAAACTCCAGCTTACACTTTATAATCAGTTACAGCAAACAGTTCTTTCTTTCCCATTAGTGATCATTGCAAGCATCCCTGTAAGTGGTAAATGGCTTGTCCCATCCATGTAAACCTATACATCTGGAACAGTGGTCTTCAAACTGTGGCCCTTTGTTTGCCTTTATCTGGCCCTCTGGGCGCTATTCCTCCCACTGACACCAACAATGGGGCAGTAGTTCCTGCACTGACAATGGCAATGGGGTACTAATCCTCCCACTGCCACCAATGATAAAGCACTATTCCTCCCACTGACACCAGTGATGAGGCACTTATCCTCCCACTGACACAAGTGATGGGGCACTATTCCTCCCACTGACACCAGTGATGGGGCACTATTGCTCCCACTGACACCAACGATGGGGTACTCTTCCTTCCAATGACACCAAGGACGGGGCACTCTTCCTCCCACTGATACCAAGGATGGGGCACTCTTCCTCCCAATGATACCAAGGATGGGGCACTCTTCCTCCCAATGATACCAAGGATGGGGCACTCTCCTCCAAATGACACCAGGATGGGGCACTCTTCCTTGCAATGACACCGAGGATAGGGCACTCTTCCTCCCACTAATACTGAGGATGGGGCACTCTTCCTCTCAATGGCACAAAGGATGGGGCACTCTTCCTCCCATTGATAATGAGGATGGGGCACTCTTCCTCCCAATGATACCAAGGATGGGGCACTCTTCCTCCCAATGATACCAAGGATGGGGCACACTTCCTTCCAATGACACCAAAGATGGGGCACTCTTCCCCTCAATGAAACCAAGGATGGGGCACTCTTTCTCCCAATGATACCAAAGATGGGGCATTTTTCCTCCCAATGACACCAAGGATGGGGCACTCTTCCCCCCACTGACACCAACTATGGTGCATTATTCCTCCCATTGACACCAATGATGGGGCACTCTTCCTCGCACTGATACCAAGGATGGGGCACTCTTCCTCCCTTTCTCCCAATGACACCAAGGATGGGGCACTCTTCCTCCCAATGATACCAAGGGTGGGGCACTCTTCTTCCCAATGATACCAAGGATGGGGCACTCTTCCTCTCAATGACACCAAGGATGGGGCACTCTTCCTCCCAATAATACCAAGGATGGGGCACTCTTCCTCCCAATGACACCAAGGATGGGGCACTCCCCCCCCCCCCCCCACTGACACCAACAATGGTGCATTATTCCTCCCACTGACACCAATGATGGGGCACTATTGCTCCCACTGACACTAACAATGAGGCACCAATAATCCCCCCAATACCAATGATGGTACATTGTTTACTCCCAGTGGCCATGGTCTGGCCCCCCTAATGTCTGAAACACAATAAACTGGTCCTTTGTTTAGAAGGTTTGGACACCCCTGATCTGGAAGACAGCTTGGATTTTTGAAAAACAACAGATTTGCTGGCTGAATCACCAGATGAAAATAGAAGAAAGAAAGCCTAAAATAGAAAACAAATGCAGCCATCACATTTAAGAACCAGTAAGCTGCAATATAATAAATATTTGCTTTTGGGGTTTGCATGAATGTGTGTGACATTTGTTCAGTGAATGTTGTATAAGTAGATCCCTTAGCCAAGGAAAATGTTCCTTGCAAAGTGAACAGCGTATTTGCCTTTAGTAAATCAGCCCCAATGCTCCCAAGAATGGAGGTCCATGGGATCCTCTCCCCTTCCTCCCACTATGCAGTGTTCCATGCCTGAGCAATCAAGACCTGAACACAGTCACATGAGGGCAAGCTTGGCATTCTATTCAGGGCTCCGACAGGTAAAGCCATGCGGCCGGGAACGCAGGGAAGGTAAGTATCCGCAGGACAGGGGAGGGCGGGGCTATCGAGAATGGCGGAGTGACAGATCAGCTTCAACCGGGAAATCTCCTTCTCTACAAATAGTAATAGTTTCCCTCTCTTCTATTACTTTGTAGCAAAACTTCATTGGATTATTTTCTGTACGTTGTATTTTTCCATCTTCTGTGAATAGGACGCTCCAGGCGCTTTCTTCATTATACCTTATTACAATGCTGCAGCCCCGGCACAATGATTATACAGGCTTCATACTATTCAGGTCAAAACATTACTTTGATTTTTATTGTTAATGAGGATTACGCTGATCCCATAACGATCCCGTAGATGCAAGAAACTGACCCAGATGAAAACTTGGTTTATGGCAAAAATTATTATTATTATTATTATTATACAGTATTTATAAAGCGCCAATAGTTCGCTCAGCGCTGTACATTACAAAGGGGGACAGAACATGTGACAGAACAATACCAATACAATGCAAAACATGAGGGGATTGAGGGCCCTGCTCTTTGGAGCTTACAATCTAGGAGGGAGGGGATGGTGGCACAGGAGGAGATAGCTGTGGGGGATGGAGTGGTAGGAAGAGTGGAGGAGGTCGGCAAGTTAGCAGGGGGTGGGGTGGGCTTCCCTGAAGAGGTGGGTTTTCAGGGTGCGCCTAAAGGAGAGGAGAGTAGGTGATAATCTGATGGGTTGGGGCAGGGAGTTCCAGAGGATGGGTGACACCCTGGAGAAGTCCTGGAGGCGGGCATGGGAGGAGGAGACCAGGGAACTAGAGAGAAGGAGGTCTTGTGAGGAGCGGAGTGTGCGTGTGCTGGGTGGTACTTGGATATTAGGTCGGTGATGTAGTTCGGGGCAGTATGGTGGACAGCTTTGTACGTCAGTGTTTGGATTTTGAATTTGATCCGTTGCGCAATCGGAAGCCAGTGGAGGGATTGGCAGAGGGGGGTGGCGGAAATGGAGCGGTTGGAAAGGTGAATGAGTCTGGCAGCCGTATTCAGGATGGACTGAAGCGGGGATAGCCAGCGGCGAGGCAGACCAGTGAGGAGGGGGAGTTGCAGTAGTCAAGTCGTGATATGATGAGGGAGTGGATGAGCTGTTTAGTGGTTTCTGGGGTTGGGAACGTGCGGATTTTGGTGATGTTGCGGAGGTGGAGTCTGCATGAGTTTGATGTTGATGTTGATGTTAAAAATGTTCCCATAGGTGAAGTGAAAGGAGATCAGTCATTTTTAGTGCTCAGATATCAGCTCAGGATTATTTATTATTATTTTTATTAATTATTATTATGTGTTATGGCTTAACCACTTGCCCTCCAGAGGATCCCCCCCCCCCCCCCCCCCCCCCCCCCCCCCCCCCCCCCCCTTTCTGACCAGGCCATTTTTTGCAATACGGTGCTGTGTTATTTTAACTGACAATTGTGCGGTCGTGCAACACTGTGCCGAAATGAAATTTACGTCCTTTTTGTCCCACAAATAGAGCTTTCTTTCACTGGTATTTTTTATTTTTTGCGCTATAAACAAAAAAAGACCGACAATTTTAAGGAAAAAACAATGATTTCCACTTTTTGCTATTAAACGTGTTCAGAAAAAAAAATCAATCTGTAGCCTTTGTAATTTTCTGTAAAATGCAATATGGCAATCTTTAGGCATTCTGCACACACAAATGAAGTACAGAGCGCCCCCCCCCCCCCCAGAAATGTCTTTTCCTGCTTGTGTTATTTGCTCACTGATTTTCCCAGAGGTCAGCACTAATATTCAAGTCAGATTTTGGGCATCCCCTGCAACAAAAGTAGTTTTGGCGAGATACACCCAAAGGGAAATCATGTCTAAAGGGATGCAGACCCTGCCACTTTCCTCATTAGAGCCCTGCAAGTACAGCAGCTGATTTGTAATGATAAAATCACTCCCATCTACATTCATTTTGCACATGGACACAGACAAACAAACAGCTATTTCTTCAGAATAAAGGGGGAAAAAACCTGCGCTACACCCCAGACAGTACAATATGTGAATAAATGTGTGAAAAAAATATAGATTCTGAAACAATAGTGAAACAATTAGTGAACTGCTGCTACTCTTTCCCTGAACACCAGAAAATACAAAACATAAAAATTGAGTTCTCCAATCCAGGGGCGGACTGACAACTCATGGGGCCCCCGGGCAATAGGGGATCATGGGGCCCCTGTGTCCTTGCCCAAACTCAAAAAAGCCTATGAAAAAGGTACGAGGGGCATCTCATGGGGCCCCCGGGGAGTGCCCAAGTTTCCAAATGGTCAGTCCGCCCCTGCTCCAATCCCAGAGGATGCCATTTTTGGAGAAACACGCGGCGGGCAGAGCTTTCTGTGACGTCACCTTGTTCCGGCCGGTGGTCTGACACCGCAGGAATTTTAACTGTTTACACGGCCTTTATGCGTCTTGTCTATGTAAGTGCAATACTTTAATAAATTCTTTGCTGGTTTATCGGGTCGAACTATGAAGTTTTCTTCTGTTTTAAACCTTTCCTTGCATGATGTGGAGAGCTGTCTGATGTGATGGATTCGTTCAAGTGAACCTGCCGTTGTCCATTCATCATCTCCTTGATATGGCTAACTAGGGTGTCAGGCCGGCCATACATTGGTCGAAATTTGACCGATTTTGCTCCTGAAAATCGGACCTAAGAATAATCGGCCGATTTTCACTCTGTTATTGGGTCAATGGCACCGGCCGATTTTCGTGGTTCCTTCCCTTTTCATTGATCGGGCATGTTGAAAAATTCGTGAAAAATGACCGATTTTTGACTCAATGATGGTCAAATTGTACGATCGTTTTTCCAAAAAGAATATGCGCCATGAGCCGTGACCTGGAAGGAACAGAAGTTTCGTCTGTTATATGGGTGAACTTTATGTCTTGGTCTGCTGATTTTCGAACTCACTGATGGCACCATCGGATTACTGAGTGAACGACGTTTTCACTTTGCGGATGAAAAATTGTTCGGAATTCGACCCATGTACCACAAGGAAACCCACACAGGCACAGGGAGAACATGCAAACCACCTGCCTGGAGTTTGCATGTTCTCCCTGTGCCTCCAATTACTCCGGTTTCCTCCCACACTCCAAAGACATGCTGGTAGGTTAATTGGATCCTGTCTAAATTGGCCCTAGTATGTGTATGTATGAATGTGAGTTAGGGACCGTAGATTGTACGCCCCTTGAGGGTTAGGGACTGATGTGAATGTACAATATATATGTAAAGCGCGGCGTAAATTGACAGAGCTATACCTGAAATAAATAAATGTATGGCCTCCATCAGTGTGGGATCTGAACACCATCTGCTTGTTTGATCTCTTGATTGAAGATCAAATTGTCTGGTAAGAGGCTGATTTTGTGTCAAGCATTTGTGGACACCTATGCACTTCTTTAGCCCACAGCACTGTGTTATTGGATTTTGGGACTTTTTAATTATTTAATATATGAATGTGAACTTATATCATTTCAATTAATGTATGCACATTTTTTATGTAGCAGTATTTATTAGATTTGTTTCAGAATAACAAAAGGTATAAATCTGCAACAAAGCTTGTTAAAGTGGTTCTAAAGGCGGAGGTTTTTTTACCTTCATGCATTCTTTTCATGAAGGTAAAAAAACCTTCAGTGTGCAGCTCCCCCATTACTTAACTGAGCCCGATCTCAGTCCAGCGATGTGCATAAAAGCTGTGGCTCTCCTGGCTCTCTCCCTCCTCACTGGCTCAGACACAGCAGTGGGAACCATTGGCTCCCACTTCTGTCAATCATAGCCAGTGAGGAAGGAGAGGGGGCGGGACTGATCTGTGTACTGTGTGTCTTAGACCTCATACCAATGCATTTTAGTGCTTTTTGTAGAAATGCAATACAGTCCATTTAACATGTTTTTCTATGGGACACATTCACCTCTATGCATTATTTAGCTTCTGCATTTTTGGAAAGGGTCAGGGACTATTTTAAATGCAAAACGGTACATTTTTTGGTCCAATATGCTCAGAAGGAGATGCTGCAGAAAACGAAAGTAGTGCGTTTTTTATGCGTTTTGCATTTTTGATCTGCCCAGCAACAAGTTGGCCCAAAAAAATAAAACTATAAAAAAATGCAAAAAGCATAAAAAAGCATCAAAAATGCCTGTGCAAAAACGCACAGCAAAAAGCACTGCAGAAAAGGACAAAATGCAAACTACATTGGTGTGCACCAGGCCTTATGGACACACAGAGCCGGCTTGGAAGCGAGCACACATGAGCAGCCTTGTGGCAAGTGGCTTACTATTGGGGCACTTAGCAGGGGGGAGGAGTCAGGAGTGCCAGCGGGGGAACTGAGAAGAGGAGGATCGGGGCTGCTCTGTGCAAAACCATTACACAGAGCAGGTAAGTAGGATATGTTTGGGGGTTTTTTTCTTGGCACCACCTGCCTGGAGTTTGCATGTTCTCCCTGTGCCTGCGTGGGTTTCCTCCAGGTACTCTGGTTTCCTCCCACACTCCAAAGACATGCTGGTAGGTTAATCGGCTCCT